AGCTATGCAGGAGACATGGGTGGATAGTTGTCTGAGAGCAGCCCTGGAGGCAAAGAAAAAAGAGAGCCTATCTGAAAAATAACTAAAACAAAAAGGGTTGGGGGTATGACCCAAGTGGTATAGCACTTGCTTAGCAAGCACAAGGCCTTGAGTTCAAACCAGTGCCTCCCTCCCCCACAAAAAAAGCCTATTCTGTGAATCCCTATCTTCATACATATGCACATACCTGTGCCCCCCCATCCCCCACAAAACCAAACAAACAAGAGTTTTCCAAAGCTAAAAGTAGATCCAGGCCATTATTAGCCCCCAACTTCCTGGAACAGGGAGGAGCCTCTGATGTAGGCATTCACAATGAACAGAATTGTAGCATTTGTTTAGCTCCTTCTGTGGAGCCAGGGTCAAAGTCAGGAATCTACTTCATCCCATCCCTTTCCCACTTTGCTACCAAGAGGTCTTACTAGCTCATTTTCCTGCTCAGAACACTGAGGCTCAAAGAGAACATGCCTTGCCTGAGGTAGATTCTTCTGGAATGTCACAGTGGATAACTGTAGAGAACCTAAAGCCTCACTTAACAAACTGCAAAGTTTGTCTGTGCTTTGGGTGTACTGCAGTTTAGAATCAGTGAGCTACCAGACCTCTGGACTATAGAGAAACAGCTGTCACCAACACCAGGACACCATCTATATGGACAGGACTGATAAGGCATGTAGTCCAATATGACATCCAATATGTCTACACTCATGCTAAGATGTGATGACGTTTAGAGCAGCCTGCCAAGGACCCCCACCTTTGGGTGTAACCAATCAGCAGAGGAGTAAACGACTAAGAGGGGAACACCCTGGAGGAGAAAAACATAACAAGGGCATCTGCTGAGACCCAGCATCAAGGGACTCTCTCCTGCATGCACCTCTCCTTGCCAGACCTCTCCCTCCCTCCCTCTCTCACTGTTTCTCTCTCTCCCTCCCTCTCTTCCTCCCCCTTTCTCTCTTTTCCTCTCTCTCAAGAGAGGTCCTGTTGTGTATTAGCTCTCCCTCCCAAGCTGTTCAAGACAACAACCAAAAAAATAAATAAATAAAAGGGCAGATGAGCTGGGCACACCTGTAATCCTAGCTACTTGGGAGGCTGAGATCAGGAGAATCAAGGTTTGAGGCCAGCTGGAGCAAATAGTTTGAGAGACCCCCATCTCCAAAATAACCAGAGCAAAAATGGACTGGAGGAGTGGCTCAAGTGGTAGAGTGCCTGCTTTGTAAGTGTTAAGCCTCAAGTTCAAAACCTAGTCCCACCAAAAAAAGGGCAGAGGAAAGATTTAAAAAATCCTGGGCCAGCTGCATGGTTCCAGGAGCCCTCTGGACACAGAAGACATCCTCAAGAAGCAAGTGTACCCACTGTGGAGAGCAGTGATGCTCACTGCCCAGGCTGTGGGCATCTGAGGATGTAGACTTGTATCTGGGCAGATCTGAGGGGTGGGAAAGGGCAGGAGAGGGAGCGAGAACAGTCACCCCAGTCAAGGGGGAGATGAGCACTGAGTGTCTGGGATTCTGAAAAGACTTGAACCCCCTCATTCCTTTCTTACTTGTCCCTAGGAGTCTCCCTATTCCCCTCAGACCTGAGGTGGCCAGCTGGCCCTGCACTGGAGGCCACCATGAGCAACCAGAAGGCCACAGTCTCTACTGAGTCTTGGGGTATCCAGGACTCTTATTCCACAAGTGTTCTGGCTTCTGCTGAGGGGCCACAGATGCCACAAGGAAGAATAAGGAGCCTCCCCCTCCCCCAATGGCTCATCGCCTTTCTTCATCTATTAATGCTGACAAGAATTGAACAAAATTCAACTTGGCGCTACCTACTCAGAGGTAGGACCAAATATCCACAATAGGTAGGACTCCAGCCTGACTCAACAGATTCTTTCCTCACCTCTCTTGCTGCTCTTTCTTAACCTTTAAGGAACTTTCCTTCAACTGCCCAGTCAGTACCAGGCTTCTCTTCTTTTCACCTCAAGAGCAGCTCCATCTACCACTCACCCCAAATCTACCCCGCTAGTCTGGATCCCTTCCCTGTACTTTGGACTCCCCTCCAACTGCTTATTGTGCCAACTGCCTCCAAGATGGTGTACAGGATCCTCAAATTCAACATGCCCCAAAGTGACACTGTACTGTAGCTCTTCCTTTTCCATCTCTTACTACCAAGCCACAATCAGCTTCATGCCTCGCTCCCTTCTAGTAAGTTCTACTTAAAACTTTCCAATCCCTTTGTCCTCTCATCACTCAATTCAGTAGCTCCCCAACCATATCTAATTGGTCTCCTGTCCAGCCTCACCTCTCTCCTGTAAATCATTCACACATTTTTTGAAGGACTGGAGTTTGAACTCAGAGCCTGACACTTGCTAGGCAGGTGAGGTGCTCTACCACTTGAACCACTCTGCCAGCCCTCTCAGGTGCTCTTTAACCTTAGACACAAACACCACAGAGATGCTCACCTGTCTAGGAGCTCTGGGTCCCCATCCCCATGACTGCTAGGAGGTATAGCCCTGCTCTCTTGACCAGCCTGCTCCTGCCCTTGCCACCTCCCATCTGTAGGTACCCTACTCCCCCCCACCTTTTTGTGGAACTGGGGTTTGAACTCAGTTTCGTGCTTGCAAAGCAGCACTACTACTGCTTGAGTCACATCTCCAATCCATTTTGCTCTGGTTATTTTGGAGATGAGGTCTCAAGAACTATTTGCCCAGGCTGGCCTGGAACCAATGATTCTCCACATCTCAGCCTTCCAAGTAGCTAGGATTACAGGCGTGAGCCACTGTTGCCCAGTGGTACTCTATTTCCTATTCATTTACTTCCTTCCTATCCATCCCTTAACACTCAACTCAAGCTGGACCCGGAATTCCAGCACTCATGAGTTTGAGGCAGGAGGATGGGGAGTTCTAGGCCAGCCTGGACTACGTAGTAAGATCCTGTCTCAAAACAAACTCAAGGCCTAGTAGGCTGGAGCCGGGCCTGAGTGGTGAAGCTGTGCACTGGCCTTCTGCTCTCACCTTCCAGGTCAGGTAATTACCTGAGTGTCCCTTCCACCTATCTGTGGGTGTGCTCACCTCCTCCTGGACAGCAAACACAGGGTACTGGGGTGTGGAGGGTTTGCAGCCTTGCTGCTCCCTTCCCTGGTGTCTCAGGGCGCTGGGGAATTCAGAGCAGTCCTTGGGTCACTTAAGAATGCTGGAGCTCCCAGAAATGCCAGTTGGGAGAGGCCCTGCTTAAAAGCCTGAAGGCTGTCCCTAAGGGCAAAGTACAGGCCTCCACTAGAGTCATGGTTCTCAAACCTAGCGTATGTTGGAATCACCTGGAGGACTTGATAAAACAAAGCCTTCATCCCCATCCCTGGAGTTCCTGCTTTAGTAGGTCATGGGTAGGACCTGGCAATTTGAATTATCAGCAAGTCCTGGGTGATACTGATGCTGCTGGTCTGGGATCACACTGAGGGAACCACCAAACCTTGGCGTATGCCGAGAATTGTCTCTGCCAAGACCTAGCAGCCACCCCTCCCTCCATCAGTCGCATCTTGGCCTGTGCTTCCCCAGCACTGGACAGTTAAGCATTGTCGTGATTCCCCTGCAATCCTGCCTTCCTCGATGTTCTCCTTATCCTCTCAAGACACCAATTAATGCTCAAGAAATGTTAGGAAAGATCAGAGAGCCAGGCACCTGTGTCTCATGCCATCCTAGCTACTCAGGAGGATCTCAGTTCAAAGCTAGCCCAGGCAAACAGTTCGGAGACCCTATCTCAAAAAAATATCCATCACAAAAAAGGGCTGGTACAGTGGCCCCGAGTTCAAACCCCAGTGCTGAAAAAAAAAAAAAAAAAAAGAGTAGGCAAAGTCCAACTTCCCGCTGATGACTCTGACCTTAACGTTTTCCCAGAGTCTACGACAGACACAAGGACTTAACACGTGCAGGACCTTGGGGAGAGGTGAAACAGTGCCCACCAAAGCAAGGTAAATACAGAAAGCAAAACCAGACCTCCTAAACAAGCTTGGGCTACCACTGGGTATAAAATAGATTTTTTTTTTTTTGAGACATAGTCTTGCTATGTAGCCCAGGCTGGCCTCAAACTCCTCATCCTCTTGCCTCAGCCCCCTGAGTGCAATATAGAAAGCTTAAAGTGAAGATTTTAAGAATCACTGCAGAACTGGGCACTGGTGCCTCACGCTTGTAATCCTAGCTACTTGGGAGGCTGAGATGTTGGTTCCAGGCCAGCCTGGGCAAATAGTTCTTGAGACCTCATCTCCAAAAATAACCAGAGCAAAATGAACTGGAGATGATGTGACTCAAGAGGTGCAATACCTGCAAAGCCCTGAGTTCACACTACAATTCTACTAAGAAAAAAAAAAAAGAAAAAATCAACCCTCACCACTAGGGAGTTAACTGCTTGTATTTAAAACTACTAAAGGGAGAGCCAGGTGTGGTGGTGCACATCTGTAATATCAACTACTCAGGAGGCTGAGGAGGGTGGATCTGGAATTTGGGGATAGCCTGGGCTACATAGCCAGATTCCACCTCAAAAAAGGGTCACATCTCCCATCTCTCTATTTCTTTAAACCCTTTCCTTCCTTCCTCTGTTCCCTGAGCACATCCTCTTACCACCATTACAACTAAAGCAGGGTCTGTCTTCTGTCCTGAGCTTGGAACACAGCTGCTACTTAACAAGTGTCAGTTGAATGAGTGGGTGGCACTTCCAGGACTAGCTGCTACAAATTAGCACCTCCCAAGATAATATTCATACCCCAGAAAATGGAAACTACTCAAGATCTTGAAGACGGTTTGCTAGTTTCCTCCTTTGAGGAAGAAAGGTATAAACTTCACTTCCCTTTGTAGCACCCAACAACCGCCCCAGTGCCAGCTCCTGCGGGCACCCCATTGTCATCCTTGGAGCTGAACTCCGCTCTCCCCTTGACCCCAGCTTCAGAGAACACACACACAGGTTGCTGAGGGAAACTTTAATAAGGCTCGTGTCTTCTTACAGGTCAAAGAGGAAGGGCATCACATCTGGAAGAGAAAGGAAAGAGTTCAAAGGAAACTGCACTTTGTACAACTGCTGTTCCCCAAGTCTGGAATGCTCTGAGAATACCTACTTCTCTTTGCTCAAGGTTTAAATGGCACCTCTTCTGAGGCTTTCCTGAGCCGCTCCAGGAAAAAGAGTCCCCTCTATCAGCCTATCACTGTGTGGACATCATTTCCCCAGGATGCTGGGCTGAGAGGGGGACCAGATGAACCTCAGTTGCTACCCCACTAGTTCCTTGTACACGGAGTCCCACTCTCATGGGGAAGGTCTCACCTCAGGTTGGCACCACCAGAGGGTGTCAGACCACTCACTGCCATTCTCCCTGTTTCCTACAGAAGATGCCCCGAGGGTGGGATTCAGGCTGGCACACTCAGCCTTGGCTCAGGGTCCTCAGGTCCCCCCGCTCGGGCCCACGCATGACAAGCCTTCACACCTGGCTGGCTCATGCACTGCTGGATACTTTCCAGCCGAGTGGAAGCCAATGCGCGGGCCTCCTCCGCAAAGCGGCGGTGTCCCTCCTCGGTCAACTTCCAGAGGCAGGATCGAGGCCGTGTGCTGGCCTCACCCTGCATGCTGACCGGCACTTTTTCAAAGCTGTCTCGGAAACAGAGATTGTGACGGACAGTATTCTTCCAGCCTTCTGGAGCCGTCCGGAAAAAGGGGAAGTGTTGTCTGTGGACAGGAAATGCATGGTTTCTCTGGGGGTGGGGAGGGGGGCTACTCTTGAGCCTGTTATCCCCAGGGGCCAGCAGCCTCAAACCTTCTTCTCAGGGTGAATGGCAAACTGGCCTGGGACTGACCGAGCAGGTGACAAAACCTCCACTTGATGCTTTGCTTATCAGAACCTTCTTCTGGGGTTCACCATCCCCAACCCAAGGCTCCTTTTTCTCCCCAACCCTGAGGACCCAGGACTTTGGCCACAGCAGGGACAAAGCAGAGTCAGGCCCCTGGCCAAGGATGATTAATATTCTGAGACATTAGGTTCTTTTCCTAAACGGGGCCAGAGCTGAGAAATTCCCTCGAACTCGTGTACGTGACTAGCAAAGGTAAATGCAGGGCTTGGGGTGGAGCTCAACCTGTGCCCATCCTGTTTGAGGCCCTGAGTTCCATTCCAGAAGGTGCACACACATTCAAATTAAATTCAAATCCCTTCTCAGCCGGGCTCCGTGGGCCACTGGGGTACAGGGAGCTGTGCCAGGCTGGAGAAGCAGGTGGAACACTGTTGGGGTAACCAGATTTTATACTGACTAATCCTGAGAAAATGTTACCTGACCCAGGTGAATTTGTGTTTTAAAGGGCAGCCAAGACATAGAAGGCTGGCATGTTTTAGACGTGAAAGGCGGTACAAATGATTATGTTTCTTGTACATGGGTTGGCACGCATCCAACTAGTAAAAGAGACTAGGGAAGGCGCATGTCCTCAGACCCAGAGAGGGAAACTGAGTCAGCAGTCCAGGGCCTTGACCCTCCCCTTCCCCCTTGTCATAGGGCCCCCGGCACATACCGAGTGAAACTGTAGATCTGCTGCACGTTGAGGCCACAGGGGGGACTGTTTCTTAGTGCCAGGGCAATTAGGTGGAAGTAATTGAGAGGGGGCCGGGACCAGAGCCTCCCCTCTGGGCTGATGGCTTGCCGAAGCCTCCGATTCTGGAGGGGGGCCCTTGTGTGAGGGGATGGGAGAGCCACAGAGGAGCTGTCATCCTGGTCCTCAGCCTCCTCCTCTTCTGTGAGCTAGAGGGACACAGAGTAGGAACTGGTCCTGACTCCAGGGTGCAGTGCAGGAAGGGGGTAGCTGTCAGGGATCACCACCTGGGTTTCTCCCCAACACAAGGTACAGGTCACGCTGAACCCATTCACCTGCTGTCCCTAAGATACCCAATGCTGACACTTTAGCCCTGTGCCCACCCTGCCTGCTGCCCAAGGCTGGCTCACAGCCTAGCAATCCATACCTCCCAGGTGCAGGGGGAAGCAGCAAATCGCTTCCGTTTCCGCTTCTGAGTGGGTGACTGCTCGCAGGAGGAAGACAGCAGCAACTGCTCCCCTGTGGCCTCTGGGAAGCTGGTTTCTTCCTCCTTTAGGGGTGGCTGAGGGGAGGGGAGCATGCTTGGCAGATCCTCCTCCTTCTTGAGTTCTCCAATCTCCAGCTTGCCAGGGGGATACACGATGTTGGGGTTCACCCACATCCATAGGTTGGGTTCAGTATCAGGGTCTGTGCAGAGCGAGAGAAAACTGTGGCATAACTCAGTGGCTTTGGGAGTGCCTGGGATCCAGCCCAGGACACAAGCTGTGACAGGGCGCTCACTCACTACTCACCGTCTTCATCAGTAGTGCATTTTTTTTCCAAAGGCAATTCCGGTGGCTCAACTATTCTGAGTCTGTATTTGGCAACTGGCAAAAAGACAGAAGGGAGGGAGTCACGACATTCTAGCATTACCACTGCGACCAAGGATCCTGGGCCTTGAAGTTCTCCTGAGAACAGGTGCAGGTCTGATCTGGGGAGTGAGACTCTGACTTTCCCTTCACCTCTGCATGGTGCAGTGCTGGGGGCTTGATCCCAGGGCCTCTTGTATCCTAGGCAAGTGCTCTACCACTGAGCCACAACCCCGCTCCTGCATTTTTTTTCTTCTCATTCCAAACTATCTCATGCACGCATGCCTGTGACTTTCAGTAATCATCTATAAATCCAGGCATGATCTTCACCTCTAGACCAGACTTCCCTGCTAGTCCTTAAGTAGAACTGCCTATGAGATGTTGTTACGTGGGTGCTCTTTGGATACTTCAAACTTAACATTTTTGTGTTTGAGATATAGTCTCACTATATAGCCTAGACTGGCCTGGAACTTGCAATTCTCCTGCTTCAGCCTCCCAAGTGTTGGGATTACAGGTATCCAGCACTGTGCCTGGCTTCAAATTCAACATGCCTAAAGCTGAATTCCATTTTCTTGCTCTTCCTCCTATAGTCCTGGTCTCAGAAAAATCGCACCACCATCCAACCAGTTGTTTAGGACAGAAAGTATTTTTGCTCCCCTCCCCATCACTGTGCCTATGAGTGTTGTCATATTACAGATGAATCTAGGTTTTTGTTTGAGAAATAATGATAGTTATTAGAGAGCTCAGTAATTAAGAGTTTTTCAGAGGTACTGGGGTTTGAACTTGGAGCCTCACACTTGCTAGGCAAGGGTTGTACTTCTTGAGCCACTCACCAGCCCCTAGAGCTCAGTAATTGAAAAAGCTGTCCATTACACTGATGTTCAACACAATGCTATTAGAAAGTGGAAAAAATAGGAATAAATACCAATTGGCAAGGAAAATGCAAAACTATCATTATTTGCAGAAAACCATATGGTACCAACATACTGTAACCACCTAAGGCCACTAAGAAAGCTGAGTGTGATGGTGTATACCTATAATCCCAGAACTCACAAGGCTGAGGAAGGAGGATCATCCTGGGTTACACAGAGTAACTCTGTCACAAATGAACAAATGCCCTTCCCCCTCCAAAAAGAATCACTAAATGTATATACCAACTTTGGGCCTGGTATGGTGGCACAAGCTTATAATCCCAGCACTAGAGAGGCTGAGGCAGGAGGATCTCGAGTTTGGGGCCAATCTGGGCTACAAAGAAAGACCTGGTCTCAAAAACAAAACAAAACAACAAAATTATATAGAAATTTTGCTGGACATAAGGACATACTGCCAGGCACTGGTGGCTCAAACCTGTAATCCTAGCTATTCAGGAGCAGAGATCAGGAGGATTGCGGTTCAAAGCCAGCCTGGGCAAATAGTTTGCAAGACCCTATCTTGAAAATCCCAGCACAAAAAAAAGCTGGTACAGTGACTCAAGGTGGAGGCCCTGAGTTTAAACCCCAGCACTACAA